ATTATGTTATATTTGTCTTATAAGTATATATATATATATATACTTTTCTTTTTAATTGTATATATATATATATATATACATTAAAGAGAAAAACATAACTCCATCACTGTATATGTGAGGAAGTTCTTCCAGCCTGCAAAACAACAAGAAATAAATTCTAGAAAAGGTTATAGTGGTTCTAACTACTCTACTAGATTAGTTAAGTGATTCTCATGAAACATTGGATATTTCACTTCTGACATAATCACTGGGTAGCTCAATAAGCAAAGGTTGCAAAGCCCATTAAACTGTATTTTTGAACATATAACTATTAACTTCAGTTGAATGAACTGTTGGTGTATTAAGCATTATATCTACTGGCACCAGCCATCTTAATTGTGTTATCTCTTTTGCCACAGATAGGTCGAAGTGTGCATGCCATGACTCTTTACACTTATATTCAAAAATTAATTAAACTTCTTTATTATCAATGTATATCAGTAAACCTGGCATTAAAATGTAATTAAAGGTTCAACTCTTAATATTATACAAGTTTTAATTTCTTATTTTTAAAAGTGTATGTCTGTTTGTGTCTATATATATTATAAATAAATGCTAAACTTCACTTTCTTTATTGCATGACACTTTTTAGGTCCAAACTATTCATTTCAACATTTTCTGCTACCCCTCTAAGCCATTGTAACTTTCCCTGGAATTTTTCACTTGTACTATACATATGCCTGAGCTAAAGTGTCAGTTTGTTCTGAGAAAGCTTTTTGTTTTATGAAGATTAAGAAATAAATTCAAATCCACATGCCATGCTTCACACAGAAAATTTTGCTTTCAAAACTTGTTGTAAATTCTCTTTGACATTGGCAGTTGAACTATTTATAACCAATAAAGAGTGAAGATTTCATGTAACTGACACCTACAAGGTCTAAAATCCTTGGATTGAACTTTTTGGCATCATTTTCTTTGATTGCTTCTGTCAGAGCTCTGCTTGACCAGGTATGGGAATTACTTTAAGTCATTTTTATGTTAGTTGGAAAGCCAGATAAATTCTAGGATATTCTATTTTATATGCATAGAAATATTTTGTATTCTAAGTTGAATGACTGAATTAAAAAAAAAATCATTTCTGAGACCACATTATTATTATGTTGATTTAGTGTTAATTTCTAATGTTGACTTATATTGTATGAGTGCAAAATATTGAAGAAGACAAGATTTCAGATGTTAGTAATAAATTTATTTCTTCTTATACATATATATTTTTTTTTGTTTTAAAATTAACTAAGAAGTAAAATTAGAAACTTGTATGTACTTTGAAATGAGATAAATATACAAAATACTCATGAGCGATGATAGCACATACCAAGCTTGAGCACGGTTGTGTATTTTGACAGGAGTGTGCTTGTAATTGGATCTGTAGTTCACACAAAGCTGTCTGGCAAAATAAACAGGTGTTGTCATTGTCTGAGAGGGTAAAAGTTCAACTGTAAGGTACAAAAAATAGAAACTGAATGTAAATCTATTAGCTTAGGCTGTAAAAATAAATATTGTATAATTGTCTATTACAATTTATTGTTTTTTGTGGTGGTTACAAGGTTTGTTAAATCAACTGAGTCTGTATAGAGTTAAAGTAGAAAAAATAACACAAAATATAAAGTTTCACTGAAAAAAAGTTTGATATTTATTTAAGAAGTATTAGAAGTTAAGCAAATGAAATTTGAAAATTTTCAGATGAATAAAAGTATTTTTAATCGACACTTTGCACTCGGACTAGTCAACACCATGACTCCACATATTCATGGACAAATCTTTAGTTAATATACTTAACTAAAAAATCTGAATTTTTATGTACAAAAGACTTGTGGACTTCTAATGTTTATTGAAAGTTTGTCAAATTTCTTGAAGATTCACATGTCATATTAACCCTATCGCCACAGGTATCCTTTACTGCATATGACACAAGGTTTTAGTGTCTTACATTCAAAACTTTATTAAACTACTTTTTATTTATGTTATACCAATTAGAATAGCATAAAATCTTAGCTAATAATCCACATTTTAATAATATACAAGTTTTAAGTTCTTAATTTTACAAGACAATATTTCAAAAAATCCTGAATTTCCACTAGTGTGACTCACGTGACACATTTTCTCTAAGCATGTCACCATCCATATTTTATCTACCACCCCTCGAAAAAGTATGAAATTAAATGTAAATTACTCTATAAAATCGTTATTGTTCAGACAAACATAATTTTTATAGTCTTCAATTTTGCTTGGTTATAGATCTATCAAATAAAAAAATCAGACCCTCCCTGCCACACCCACCTGTCACATCCGCTCTTTCAGAATTCGTTGATAGTTCTCTGTTACATTTCGTTATATATTATCTGTAACCAATAGAAAGTCAAGGTTTTCATCTATCAAATGACGTATTGTATAATGTTATGTTCTTAACAGTTAGATGCCAATTACACCCAGAGTACCAACATTGTTCCCGTGGGAAAGTTAACGACTAGCTTGGATGAATTTGTAACGGCTCTTGTCACATAGCTAGAAAAAGTTTTAGATGTAAGGGAATTTGTCTCCTTTTTGCATGTCATTAGTCTATATTCTTTGGTGCATTATTTAGTTAAATAAAAATTATTAAGTGCATTACTATCTATAGTTTTAGAAATTAGGGTTAACTCTCCTTGAAAACCTGACAGCAAGAAAAAAGAAAATTGGTTAAACATTTTATTTCTGGTTTTTCATGTTTATTCTCTA